GTCACCTTTTAAACAGGTTTTCGTCTGTTCGGATAGCAAAAGACTGTAAAAAATGACTTGTGTTTGTGTGTTGTATATCATTTTTGACTTAGATCATTTTTTAAATACAAATGATACGTAGTCGTATCAAGAAATGTTTTATATAGAAAATAAATATGACCCTTTAATTTGCATTTCAAACACTTTTTATCTGTTTGGATAGCCAAAGATTGTAAAAGGAAAAGCTTCATTTAAAGATGACTTGTGCTGTTGTGTAGACTGTGTTGTATATCATTTTGATTTATTTTTTTTTAATACAGATGATACGTAGTCAAGTCAAGAAATGTTTAATATAGAAATGTAATGTCACCTTTCAAACAGGTTTTCGTCTGATCGGATAGCCAAAGACTAAGCGAAAAGCTGCATAATGACTTGTGTAGACGTTGCTGTATATCACTTTTCACTTAATCTTTTTTAAATTACAGATGATACGTAGTCAAGTCAAGAAATGTTTAATATAGAAACATGTGCATGTACAGCCAAAGCATTGTATTGTAAGGACTCTAGGTTGACCTGGTTGTAAGATTAAAAGGTTCTTCACTCTTATTGATAGCATGCTGCTATGGGCAAAGTTACAGGTGGAGAGGGATCAAATTAACATGATCCCATTGTCCCAAGCCTTAATACAATTATACCTTCATGGATATATATTAATGGCTTCACCACACTATGTGCTTTGGGATTAAAGTCGGTCCTAGCATAATTTTTTTAAACAGATATCTACCAAAACAGTTTGAGAAATATTTGAAGCATACTTGTGTATTTAGAAAATATGTTTAAGAAATTTCAACAGAATGCAAAAAAAAATATTTAGTAAGAATGATATAACAGTACCCAGTGCCAATGGTACACCCTGATCTTTGAATAGCCTAATGCAGATAGCTTCGTGACGTCAGACAGAAAGACTGGTGGCCCCTGTTGTAGACAGACGTTGTACAGACCAAGACGTTGGAGAACGTCCTTGTAGATTCTCCAGTACTTCGTTACCCCGTTAAGAATTACGCCGGAACAACTGTTAAACCACCAGCCACCTTTGCGGTTCTCTGCACATATATATCGTACCAAGTCGTGGTCCCTGTCAAATGTTCCTGTCTCGTTCTGCCTTGTTGTGCGAGTCACGATTCAGTCAATCGCTTGTACTTTTTTGCCTGTTTCCTAGGTACAAGCGGTGGTGATCACTCTCGCCGGCAGCTTTGAAGGTTAAATCGTACCTGGAAACCAAGTGTAGCCTTTGAAGTCTATTTAGAGCACATACTCTCCCTGGTTCGTCAGAGTGAATATAATTTTCAACCCAAGCCTAAACTCGCCCTCTAGGTCACCGAACCTTCTCTTGTAGTCCTCCCACGTTCGGGTGAAGTTATCCGTGCCCAGCCCACAGTCCAGCCTTTCCCCTAAGGCTCCATCTCGTAGAAGAAAGGTTCAGTTGCTCCGGATCCCCCGAGGTTGAATATGGTACACCCCGCTGGCTGTTTTCCCATCGCTACGAGCGTGATCACAGTCCCGATACACGTCAGGCCTCTGCCTTGCCTGTATCTTGATAGTGACCCAACCTAGAGACACGGGTGGGCCTTGCTGTAAGCAAACGTTATAAAGACCCTCTCCTCTTCCCGTTACTTCACGATACTCATCATGACCACTGTATTTCTTAATAATCCCGTTGAGTATCAGTAGAGAGCATCTTTTATACCACCAGCCTCCCTTCAACCTCTCCGCACAACTGTAGCTGGCCTTGTCATTGTCCCTGTCCATGGTACTGAACGCCATCCCGTTCAAGTCTGCCCCAGCTCGTTCCATGCACGAGCCGGCTTTTCCTGTAAAACCAGACAAAGTCAGGCGGTAGTTCTCATCTTCTCCTGCCACTCTAAAGTTATCGTACTGGTACGATCCTACGAGACCGTTGAACGCTTGAACATGGATCTTGATCCTGAAGTCACCGTCTTTAGTGAGTTGGTGTATCTTGTCATTACCAAGCCAGTACTCTCTAGGAATGACGCCGAAACCGTTCTTGTAATCCTCCCAACCCCTCGTGAAGTTCTCCCCCACGGTGTGATTTCTCTGCTGGATGACGGTCCAGGCGGCATCGCCGTCTTGTAAGTCACAGAACACGGGGAAAGGTTCAACCGTGTTCCGCGGACGGATCCAAAACACTCCGCTGCCCCGCTCTCCTGAGCGTTTCACCGCGTCACAGTCTTCATACAATTTGGTATCTGCAAAAAATAATTGAAGTCCAATTATTTACAGAAAATAGTCGCTTTCTTTCAAAATCAGATCTCTAGTGATAACCTTTCTGAGAGAATAAAAGAGGTAATTGATATATTTCTGTTCAAACGATTAAGAATTATCGAAACTGTAGATTATGCTGTATCTTTTGGCTTATTCAGCAACGGGTTGTTTAAGGAAATACTTACCATTGCATAGATCTTTGCACTCTTCAGGAGCTGGCGTTGTTGTGGGCTCAGTTTCTAAAGGTTCCGCTAGGCGGCGTAACTTCATGGTCACCTTTTTCAGGGAGTGCTGCTTTGAGTAGCCGATCAGTCTGAGTGGGAACCAGAAGATGCCGTTTTGCTCTCCTGTGTATTCGCCACTATCTTTGTACATTCCGTTCAAGTTGGCCCAGTTGAGACACACTTTACCAAACCACCAGCCTGTTTTCTGTACGCTAGCGCAGTGTGAGCCCTGCAATGTGCCGTGGTCCTTAGTCGTAAAGGGTTGGTCTCGGTCCAACTTCGTCATGCCATCGCCGATGTTTCCCGAGTGGTTTCCGAGCCGAAGCCTGTAGTCGTCGGCTTCGTTCTCTACTCGGAAGTGTGAATATTCGGCGAAGAACGTTCGCCCGTTGAAGTCCTCCAGATCAATTCGCAGCTTGTATTTTGCTTGGTTGGTGAGTCGGTAGATATTGTTGTTTCCAAGCCAGTATTCACCGGCCACGTCGCCAAACCCTTTATCGGAACAATTGAAAAGAAACATGTAATGCCAGACACCATTGGCAATGGCATTTGGTGGTCTTCTTTGTTGCCATTTCATAGTACTTATATGTCATGCTTAAATGGCAAAAAAAAAAAAAAAAAAAAAAAAATATAATAATAATAATAATAATAATAATAATAATAATAATAATAATAATAATAATAATAATAATAATAATAATAATAATAATAATAATAATAATAATAATAATAATAATAATAATAATAATAATAATCTTATAGTGCTGAATTGAAGCAGGGTTTACAATCAGATGATACAAATGGTAATAATACACATAGTAATACACATAATACACAATGTCATGATATATATTTCTTTCACATTTTTGTGGAACTGCCGCAAGGGTCTGTGCGGCTGCCATTCGACGCCACAAGGTGACCTCAATACGGCTTTCCCCAACCAAAGTTAGGTACCCATTCACACCTGGGTGGAGTGAGGAAGGTTGTGTAAAGTGCCTTTCCCAAGGGCACAATGTCGGGCGCATGTCCAGACATGTACCGGGTATGACTCGGGATCGAACCCGGGTCTCCCGGTTCACAGTCGAATGATCTACCACTACTCCACCCGACGCCACTTGGGCGCGCATATAATTCTTCTTCTTCTGTAAAAAGCTGTAGTATCTCTGTAATACGTACCGTCCTTGTATTCCTGCCAGTTGCGGAAGAAGTCGACAGAGCCGTCCTGTCTCCGTTGTATGACAGTCCAAGCCCCGCCGTCCTCAAACTCACACCAGGCGCTGAACACATCGTCTAAATCCCGAGATTGGATGGAGTAAACACCGGAGTCCTTTTGTCCCTGGTTGTACGAGTTGGTACTGTCAAGACGAGTGTCCCCTTCTGTACAACAAGAACAACAGCAACAGCAATAAGAAATAGAGAATGGGGTCGTGTAGAGGCAGAGTGCTCGATTCGGAACCAAGAGGTCCCTAATTCGAGTCCTGACATGCCACCGATCTTGTGCCCTTGGGAAATTAAGGAACTTTACACAACTTTCCTCACTTTACTTACTAATAGGTGAACATGAGTATATTCTGTTCCGAATTTGTCCTCAATCTATCTGCGTTGGTGACGCCATTAAAATAATTTGATACAACTTGAGTGCACGTGTGCCGTCACCATGTCAATGTTGGAATAAAGAAAAAGAAGTAGAAGTTATTGTGAGTTTCTTCTTTCATTCATTTTTGTGGATTTCTTGCTGATTCTGTACAAATTCTGTTGGCGAGCACATGGGCACAACTGATGAGTTCATCGGCTTTAACCTCCAATTCATCCATTCGTATTTACAAGGAGACAAAGAAATACCCCGTAATAAAGCGTCCGAACAAACGTCTAAATAGTATGGTCAAATAAATTACAAATATGAAAAACTCAGAAAAAGAAAACTGAACAGACAAGAAACTGATTAGCAAACAAATAAACGCTAATGAAAACAAAATCTTGTGACCTATGCTAATTTGAAACGGGATTCCATATATCCGTAAATAATTTTATCAGGTTGGTAAACGACGACTGAATAGCAAAGTTCTTTCTATCACAACCATTTATTTTTCAAGCCAACGTTTCGATGACCTTCGAATTCTGTCATCTTCATCAGGGCAATTCTGACTGGTTTACTGTGCACTGACACTAGATGTTACTTGGTGCATAGTGCACTAAAGGTGTTACATAGTTCATAGTGCACTTAAGCTAGTTTGTCTGTTTACAATACATTCCGGAACGTAGTGTAATTGTGACATACATATATGCGGTTACAAATGTAAAGTGTTTCTATATATAATATAAGATTTGTTAACTGACAATACTAAGCTATCACAGTTCCAAACAGAAATCATTAAAAGTCTTGTTACATGTGTATTTTTAGGAATCATAATAGTTACAAAACAGACAAAACTAGCTTAAGTGCACTATGAACTATGTAACACCTTTAGTGCACTATGCACCAAGTGACATCTAGTGTCAGTGCACAGTAAACCAGTCAGTATTGCCCTGATGAAGATGACAGAAGGTCATCGAAACGTTGGCTTGAAAAATAAATGGTTGTGATAGAAAGAACTTTGCTATTCAGGGATTTCATATAGTTCCATATTTATTTCATAATACACGTCTTTACCTTTAGGCTCACATGTCGGCTTGTCCCCAACCCAGACTCCGTCCTGACACAGGGTACTCTGTGTCCCCTTCATCTCGTACCCAGGAGCACAGGTAAACCTGGCCCTGTCCCCGGTCTGTCTTCCCGACACCTGTACGGCTCCGTTCGCCGGGCCTTCGACAGGTGGACACAGCACCACTACAATATGAAACATATTTCACATTCACATGTTCTCAGCAGCCAAATCCAACCCTGCCCCCTATCGGTCTTTTGAATGATTGCATCAAGGAGATTACAGTATCAATCAGTTCTACTCAGGGTCTATAATGATGTTAGCCATCTACAGCATAAAACATTTTACTATCACATATCCGTATTGTATTGAACAGTATGGCTTGGATTGGATTTTATTTTATTCATCCAATCTCTCTAGAACTTTTTCTACAGCGTATCTTTTTCTCCTATGACGGACCTATATCTACCAAAGATGACTTTCCCCGTAAAAGGCTAGATGGCATATAAAACTACCCAACCACTGAGGAAAGGTTTGCCTACCTGTTTTCTCACAAACCGGCTGACTGCCCGTCCACTGCCCGTTGACACACTCCCGCATGTGGAGCCCGGCCAGGTCGTACCCTGCAGTGCAGGTGTAAGTCGCCAGGGAGCCGTGTGTGCGGGTCTCAAAACGTACTTGGCCGTTCTCAGGACGGTTTGGAATGGGACAACCTAGTTTTATCAGAAATATGACTTATTATTATGGTAATAACCGTTGATCGTTGTTACCAGCCTTTACTTGTTTTTAATTTTTAAATTAAATATGTTTTTGCTTTGATACGACTCATTTCTTTCTAGTACACTATCGCAACGACGTATTAAGCATTAAGATAGGCGAATTAAACAATTATATTAAATGAAACTATTTATTACCTGTAATAAATTGAGAAATGACTGCAATGACGACCACAATGGCAGCGACCAAGGCCAAAACACCAAATCCTACATATGATTAGAATAATGAGGAAATCATCACTGTACACGAAAAATAGTTACAGTCTAGAGGTAGTTATAAAACACATTTATTTTGTCGGCAACAAACCACAGATAACGTCAATACCTACAACGTACCGTTACAGTAGCTGTGGAAAAAAATACAGACATACGTACCTGCGTTGCTACGTTTTGTTGTCTTCGGCAATTCTTTGATGATGTTATCTGCAACATCCTGTATGATTTTGTCCTCAACAATTCCCGTTTGACTGTCACAAGTAACGGAAAGTGCCCTTATACCTTTCAAAGTCGGGGAGTATTTTCTCACCAACGTATCAAAATCTCCAAAGTCATGCCCCAGCCAGACAGGAAAAATCGGCAAGCCATATCTTTGAGCCAGTTCGAATTCTCTTTTAGGCCAGTACTTGTGTTCGCAGAGGAGGTTTCTGCTTAAAACGGTGACAACCAGCTGTAAGTTGGGACTAGCAAGGGCTGATTCAATAGATTTTTTTATGTCATGACCTGCTTGGATACTGAATTTGTCATAAAAGATGTCGTCAGGTTTAAGACCGTTGGCTACTAAAGCTTTGTACAAAGGTTCCACAAATCTGTCCTTGTCTTCTCCGGCGTGGCAGAGGAACACAGATGGGCCTGGGGAAATATAGAGAATATTTTGCGAAATCTTATTATAATACTGGTTTATTTGTTTCATGTAAAACTCCTAACAAAATGGTTCCCACGTGGCAGTCACAAACTGAATTGCGTGGGGGTTCCATTAACAACAGTTGGTATTCATACTAAAAACATTTAACTATATACATGTAGGGTACAATATTAAAAAAGGTAGTTATACAATATTAACAAATATAAAAGATCTCATGAAGACACATTATACAATATCTCAAAGGCTCGGAATTTGACATGACGCACATAGACGATTCGCGAGCATTAGAAACCACTAGGTGAACAATTTAAAATAGGGCAGTTTTTTTCCTTGCAAATTAGGCAAATTGCATTCAAATAACGAGGACAAACTTAAGTAATAATTGTCATATCAAGATTTCAATTTATGAAAATAATTTGTAGTTTACCTGTTTTGTATGGTGCCTGACCCATGATGGTTTATACTTCAAGTACTTCAATAACCCCAACCTCTTGATGTTGTCGCTAGACGTCGCTGCACGTAATAACCTGGCCAATGTAAATATGTAAATAAAGGAAACATTAACATGCCCGTCACAACAGGCACTATGAAGTAGCATGTTACACATTTCTTAAAAGAGATCCTGTCTATTATGATATTCACATGATCGACTGTGTATATGTAAAGGTCTAAAAACATGTCAGGTACACTTTGTTATTGCACCTGTCGCATTTAATTACCCTGTAACACAGGTTAGTAAAGTTTATTTTTATTAATTAGCACATACAAGTACGCAATAAAAGTTATACAAAATATTACGATGGAAATAAACGTGAAGGGGGTGGAAGAAAATCACAAAGGTTTATTTGATATCCTCCCCGTCATGGCTCGCCGTTCTATTTACTTCAACGTTCATTATATGATTTGTTAATTCTTTGTCATCACCCTTGTAAATAGTGTTGTTATGATTTTTGTTATTGTTTATTTTGTTAATTATTTATGTAATCCTTATTAGTTTATTTTGGTGGGGGAATTAAAACGGAGTATGTTCCTGTTTCCCCCAACCTTTTACATTTTGTTGTAATAAAGCTGAAATAAATAAATAAATTTTACAATTTCCACAATTATATCAAATGAAATAAGAAGTGATAATAAACATGTACAATGAAAAATGAATTAATTAAACAAAATAATCAAGTTTGGCATTAGTAATGAAACAAATCTTATGCCAAATGGGAGTTGAAGACCCTTTTAGTCGGGAAATTCAATCCTAACCTGAAATAGTTTTTGAAGTCTAGCCTCTACGTATACCAGGCACCGCGGATCGCTGGAAAAATAATAGAAATTGGCTCAAGGATCCGTGGGTCGCAAATTGGATCTTCTATGGCCCTGGATCTTCTCTGGTATACTATCCCTTAATTTCGGCCAATTTCTACTATTTTTCCAGCGATCCGCGGTGCCTGGTAGAGGCTAGTTGAAGTCCTCGCGGAAGTATTTTTGTTTACTACAGTCAACACCAGACGACTGAACATTCTGTTTGTACTTATTGCACCTCTCTGCGTCTTCACAATGTTCCTCTTGTTTACTGATAATTTGTATATAAGAGAATATGCTGGGTAGGCCAGAAACCTAGGTGGTTTTTTTAAGGCCTACCCCAAACTATGATACATGACAAAACATATTTGACTTAAACATCAAAATTAAACAATGAAATAATTGATTCATTAAACAAAATCAAGACACAGAAATAATAACTGAAGTGTGTAAACTAGTTTTTTACATCTACGAAAAGAAAAGAAGTTAAACAAAAGTCTTATAATTCAGGTCGCTACTGCAGAAATAAACTGATTAGATAATTAACATGAAAATTAACGATTAAAACAAATGATTAAAAAAGAAGGAAATCAAACAAATCAGATTGTAGTGGTACTGGGGTTTTGTGAGAAAAGTTTTTAAGAAGTTCTTTTTAAAAACAAGGAATTGACTGGCAGTTTTGTAGCAGTTGGCTTAACTTGTTCCAGACGATGAGGCCTCTATACGCTATTGAGAATTGTTTTTGTGTGGATTTAGTCTTGATCGGCCTTAATTGGTTATGTTGTCTCGTATTAGCCTCTACCAGGCTTTGGGGAGGCGGCTGGAAAGAGTAGAAATCGGCCAAATAGAGAGATAAGCATGACAAGGGAGTTTGGCCGTTGAGAGAACAGTTCGCCGCCCCATAACGAACTGTTCTCTCACGACAAACTCCCTTGTCATGCTTATCTCTCTATTTGGACGATTTCTACTCTTTCCAGCCGCCTCCCCAAAGCCTGGTAGAGACTATCTTGACATAACAGCTAGGAATATTCACTAACCTTTTGTGTCACACTTCAAACAATAAAAGAAACTAGAACTGCTCTCAGACTGGTACCGAACTGACGATTGCACCTGTGACTTCCGCCTTGCGTTCGTCTTGTTTACACAGAATGTAGTTGTTATGACCTCACCCCGTGCCGGCCCGGACAATGGAGACCATACGTGAATGGTGTCGGCTCCAATTTTGTGTTCACCGTGAAACGAGACTTTGCCTGCCTTGACAGTAGAAGTCGGCCAATTGTACCTCTGCACCGTTTGTAAATATTGTTATACATGATGTAATGGTGTCAGCACTGGAGAATAAGTCCTGGCCTTAGAAACGACGAAAACAGGTAAACTACTAGCATGGTACAGGTAGTCGTCGGGCAGACTGTGACACAGGCAACAAATAACAATGTTCTAACACGGTATTTCCGTTACATGGCAGTTGGATTTTGTAGGAAAATTGCACGACTGTCCGAGTTTGCGGCCGCACGGCGTAGCAGTGACCGGGCGCTGGTGACGTCGTCCCGTTTCCCATCGGCTGAACAGAGAAATCACGTGACCCCTAGCTGATACTAACTATTCCCTTTACCCTCTGACCCTTCCTCAGTATCACCTGTATCAAACTTTGACTGAACGGTCGCTGTGAGCTCACTACCCTGTGTGTTCGTCTGTGAAAGAGACGGGAAACAAAGTTCACGTCTGAGCTTGTGAAGAACAGAAGCGTTTAGTAGTAGTAATTGCATGTAACATGTTATAAAACTAGAAAGGTAACAATTGCAAAGCAAATGCATAATGTTTACCTTCGCATAATATCTGCTCAAACACATTCACATATATGGTGACAGGAGTCTAAATCCCTCCTACTATAAAATTGCAACATTATGTAACCCAACACCAGTCACCATGGTGACAGACGGT